ACCGTCTGCAAGGGAGGGTAGTGGTAGCGATATGAGTTTAAAATGCGTGTTCGTTTTATGTAAAATAGTATTCGCGAAAGTGCATTTATGTGCAAATGATAGCTTTTTTGTTGTCAAGAGATCCAAAGCAGTCTTGCCACCTGCCTGCTACGGTCCAATGTGTTGGAGTGCGCAACACACCCACACATCCATATTGGTTGAGGAAGCAGTTTCGAAATATGCGTGCTAAAACCGGTTGGAAATTCACTGTCCGATAAACAACACTCGACAAACTTCTGCCTTTCGTGCCATATGATGTGTGGTAAGGTGTCACTGTTTTCACCTCTTTATTTGTCAGATGTATGCACTCTCATTAGTAGTTTTGATCAGAGTTCCTAGCCTTTATCACTTTATCTGAAGTTCTCGAAATTGAATCGGTTTTGGAAATCCAAGTCACGTCGCTTTTGCCGGGACAAGAGCTTCGATTTGATTCATAGATCTATCGGCCTTCATAACACCGTTCACTGGATGAATAAGAACTTCACACCACAAACTTCTCCATTCACTGTTGGCAAAGTCCTGTCCAATTTCCGTGTAAAACATCCGCCACACACACTGGAGGAAACTTTGTTGACACTCAACTCAATCTTCACCATTATACAACAGGAATTATTGAACTGAATTTCACTGATCGCTTCTAAACTCACAATCTATACAAGGTAAATGAGAATATGAAAAATAGACTGGGAGTGGGCCTGTTTTCAAGTTGCCTGAAAGAAAATGATCCTTTGTGGTTAACACAAGGTACTCAGTCTAACCATGCATACAAACTAGTTCAAGTATTCTAATCTAATAAGAAGTGACAACACGAACGCTTCCATTTCCTGCAGTATTTCTAACCAAACAGTCATGGAGTCTTTTGAAACCCAGCCTTTAAAAACGGACACATACTTCAAGTTATCGCTCTGCGCATTTCTTCCTACCTCATATTCACTTCCTCTGTTGTCCTCCACGTTGTGTTCTTCAGCCCGGAGCATCAAATGCAATTAAGGCACAGTGTGGTAGGCGACCATTAGACGTAAGCATTATGTGGCTTAACTAGCGAAGCCTATTGGACTGAATTCGACACGATAAAGAACCTGACCTCGATGCACTCAAGCACTCGACGATTCATATTTACTCTACTAACCCGTACACAATCTCACTTGGTTACCCATTGCCGGAACCCTCCAGAAGATGGATGTCTTCCGCTCGCAAATTCAAGGTCTTACAACCAAACAGTGCTGCAGTACAAGTGACTTTTCAACTTCAGTGAAACACTACGTCGGCGACACAGTTGCTTTAGTCCTGTGTACGCATCTTGAGTCCGGGAAGTGCGCCCGATTATCTTCTTTACTGTTCACGCAGCTACCTACGAAAAGCAGTCAACTTCAGCCACCTTCTGACCATATTGTTTCAGAACAAGATTGGTCGACACCTAGTCTTGCAGCACCACTTTTCCCTTTGAAGGTGCAAGGCGCCTGCTGAATGAAACAACAGAACTGGTCCGTCGATCAAAAGCGCTTTGTACGTCCTCTATACATTCGAACAGACGGGCAATATGGTCAGCGCAATCCAATTCGCATAACTGCCCATTCAATATCAATATTTTAGAGACTGTCTAGTGCGTTCCCCAGTATTTTGTCTGCGACGGAATTTAACAGCGACCTGGTCAAAATCCTGCTTGTTTTTCACGAATATTTGTCCTACTGAAGGGGACCAGACGTAGAAGTATTACAGAGGCTAATAATTTGTTGATGATCAGGATCAAACTGATCCTGCGCCGGTATGCGCAGTCATTATGAGATCCTTTCATGAAAACTGGACTGATCAGTGGTTCGGTCCAATGTGATGGAATGTACTCCCCCGCAACCAGATGTTACTTAGGTTTTTGGTTATGAAGTCCCTGAGATTATCCCACACACCCATCTTGAAAAGAGTGGAAGGTAGCCCGTCAGATCCTGCTGCTTTTCCTCTAAGTAGAGCTTAAATGCTAAATTGTAATTTCGCTTCTTTGGGAGGTTCACATGACACTACTCACGAATTTTCAACTTTAGAAGACGAGATATAATCTGGTTATCACTAGACCAGCTGAATTATTCGTTGAAACACTCCGCCCGGCGTTCAAGCTTTTATCGTAGATTGTTTCACTAACTTGAGTTCGCCGACCTCTGGTGTTGCTTATACAACCAGAGAATTAACGTAGACTGCAGACAACTATATCGGAGCTTCAGCTGCACCGAATGAGTTCAGTGAGTTTATCGTAGAACTTGTCTTTTTGTGCTTCAGTTAGGTGGTGTCTATGTTGCTATGATAAACAGACATATTTTGATGTTTCACTTCCGGAGGCTGATAGATCCCTGGAGTCGCATCGCACATATACGACTGTTGACGGGATCCAATCGATTAGTGATCCTTCGGCTCTGTTCTTGATTGCAATACCTACTCGACATTGACCTGCCAAGCGAGCTTCTTCGTCGCCTGATGTGCGGAGTAATTAACTCGTGATGGGAGCCAGAGTACTTAAGTGACCTAAAGTACGAGGATCTCCTGGTTAACGTCTTTGACACACAGCATACATCGATTTCCAAAAAATCACTGTACGCGCAAAACACGCTTGTTGACTCACTTACCTCAGAGTCCTCATGTTGAAGGCCCCATAGATTTAGTGATTTATGAGGCTTCAGAATCTGCAATTTATTTGGTGGTAAACTAATCTGCATAGTCCGAAGTAAACATTGAATCCAGTGTCCTGGTCCCACTAAGTCAAATATCTCGTAACGAATCCACGATGATGGTTTTCATGAGTTTTGTCTGTTGTTCTGCACATAGTGATCCGAATTTGGTCACTGCAGTCAGGCGTTGAACCAGTGATTGCAATACCATCAGGCGATTGCATCTTTAGGCGAGTATCAAAATGAGTCCATTCTATGCACCAGTGATATAAGGACAGAATATGACATTGTTTTTGTTTTCTTTCTGTTGAAATCCAAGAGTTCGACCTTGTTCTGTGTACGTTGGTTCTAAACCCATGCAAATGAAATAATCCGATTCGTTTCAGTCTATCCCAGGTCGCGCCCCCGTTGGTGGTCTCACTCTGTTGGCTGCATGTCCGTCCGTAGGCGGATCCAACACACTGTCTGTTGGTTCGTTTGTGCACATACGTCAGTGTGTGTGTATGTCTCTTGGAGCTATTGATGCGTTGCAAACATGCTGACAGTCTCGCACCCGAGGTCGACATAGTCACATTGGTCATACTCTTTGTTTCAGTCGCCCGGATCGCCACCATCACTTTAGTGCTGAATACACCTTCGAGAGTGACTCGTTTTGTGGTCTACGTCTGAGCCGTCCCACCCCCGCACCTCCGCAACACAAATTATACACAGAGTTAGACGACCGGCTTGCCGGGGAATGCGAAACAGTGGAATTAAACAGTTCTAATCCAACCCGAATTGTTTAACTTCTATCGCTGGCTGAAAAGCTATGCTCCTGTGTTTTTACGTGTGTCACATTCCTTGACTAAATAGCTAAGCAGAGGCCTTTCTGTCTCTCCTGAACGAGAATGCAGTAGTAGATCAACCTAGTGTGCGATTCATTTCAGATAGTCTAAGGGTCGGTCGTCACGATACATGGCCATGGTCGTCACCACAACGTCCCAAATTTTTTTGCGATTGAATCGCCACCGTGGCCTATGCTCACCATTTCCGTTTATGTTCAAATATCCTCTACTATTAACCACATTCCCTTCTTGAAACCTAACTGTACAATTTAAAATTCAATAAATAAAAAAGAAGTAAAAATGCCAAAATCGAAAACATCATTCGAGTGGATCGTTAAATAAAGTTTAACTGAAATGCAGATTCGGTTTTCGAATTCACTGAGCATGATGGCATGTCTGACTGTCATTTTGGTTTATGATCAGTGATATGTACAATATGTTCAATGGTAAAACACCCCGTTTACCATAGAGGGTCTAGCGACAGTCCAGTGTGTTTTAAGTTGCTATTAACATTTTGCGATTGGTTTCAGTTTTCGAGATCCGGCGATTACCACCGTCACCCAATTTTGATGGTATACATCACTTTTTCGTATACCAAGACCTTCCTTTTGAAGTCTATGTGGTTCACCCCTTTAGGTGTCAATGCCGGTTGCCGTGGCTGACTGAACAGTAATTACACATTCGTCAAACCGGTTTGTGTATTAAAAGAAACCCAGATCTGCGTCTTTATTTCGGTATAGGAACACTGACACCGATGACCTTTGTGCCTGGGTCCGCCATCATGCTATCCCGTTTTAGGCGTGTCAGATACAAGTTATCCTTATTCATGCGGATTGGAGTGAGATACTATAAATAGAGCTCGCTTCTCCACCTACACTCAGTTCCATGTGTGTGTTTCTTCCGTCCAGCTGATTAGCTGCTCGTAAGTGACCATTGCTGTTTCGTTCTTCACATGCTTTCTGCTGTCCAACGACTTCTCTGATTTTCTCAATACATATATAGTTACGATTAGATGAGTGGTAATCAGTCACAGTGGGACTCGGCTCAGCTTATCTGATCAAGAGGAAATTAGTGGTCGCATTAATTTTTCCTAAGTGTTTCATAGCCAGTTTCTGGTGCATCGTCGTGACTGTTGATGCATTGTTTTGTTATTGTTTTTGTAATAGTATTCTCATCTGAAAAGTAAGACTAGCGCTTCATTTTCGTTTGTATTTAGAATTCGATTTTTAGTGTTGCTTTTGCGTACCAAATACCGATGCCTTCAGAAAAGTGAGTATTTGAAGAATGTCTCTTCACATTACGCACTGTATTGTTGGAATTTACGCGACTCGCATGGTGGTGGCGCAGTGGTTTAGTCGCTGTCACCAGCGTGCTTTGGACCTTATAGTCTGAGGTTCAAGCCCCGCCGCTGCCGCCACCCGACTTTGGTGGTAGGCAGCTCGTCGGGGTCAATACCACGCTTAACCTATCGGGGCCTTATGTGGTTCGCCACTCCAAGTCCCGCGGGACTTAGGTTGCCGGACTATGGGGTTCACCCCGTCCGCTGTTCATCTCATTTAGGTGTGTAATAAAACATAAGAAAACAGCTAGGAGGATCTCTCCTCTTTACGATTTTTGCATGCCTCGGGATATACGCGTAGGTCGTTAGTTATCTGTAGAACTCACACTCCCTCGAAGTCCAAGTCACAATATTCATTGTTCAACTTTTCCAGATCCCGTTGTCCAATCTAGCTTGCGTGATTCCTGTGCTTATAGTCCGCGGCAATTTCTCATTTTTTTAGACAGTTTGTGTTGCAGAAAACACCTATTTATCATTGTTTGCAAGTAAATCTGAACCTGTCAAGATGGGATAGAGATCGAATTACAATAAATGCAACCATTTTTCTCTTTTCGTCAACAGCACCGGGGTTTCATGTTATTCATCAATGTGATTAGTCTGTTGTCCGTTCTTCTAATCAGTGACGAACGACATCGTAATTTTGACCCGACTCCAACGATCTGCTTCATTTTCGTGCTTGATTTAAGTTGAGTGACAACGTGCCATCCATTCGGTAGATGTCCTGGGATCTGAAAATGTGTCCTTGACCTCTTAACGCAGCTAAGAGGGTATGCGTGCATCCCTGCTCGGGTTCAAATCCCACCGAGCCTGCTGATACTTTCACAGAAATATTGCAACATCTCTCCCTTGCAACCTTTGCATGGTATTTTCTAAAACCTGCTATTGTAACATGGGTGGCGAGATTCGATGGCGCCTGCGAGAATGGAAATCATGTCGATCTGAAATAATAGTAACATCAAAAATAGTATCACCGAAATCCAATCGCACCTCCCGCCAACAATCATAAGCATGGAGTGAGAACACGAGTTGCACACGCGAGCGGTTCATGCTGGAACCGCAATGGCGGCTTTCTCTATTGTGTTGCATGGTAACCCTTTGATTGGCCGTTTCCTCTTCCTGAAAATTGTATTCAATAAAAGGAAGTAGAAATCAAAAGAAAAAATTAAGATATAAGACAAGTTGGGGTAGGAGATCAGATGTCGATCATACATTTTCTTATGGCTCTGTCTCTTTCGTGGTTTATGCTATTCACCCACTTCACACATGGAAAGGAAGAGTGGAAATAGAATCCGTTAGTGATGCGTCAAACGTTTTGGTTTGTTCGGTTTCATTGCTGTTGCACCATTAACTTCCCAAGCACCAACTGCCCAATTCTTAGTCGATTGATAATTGTAAATCACAGACTTTAATGGACAGTTTCTAAACTTTTGCGTGCCCCCTTAGTGTTACCATCAATCGAAGGATAGTATCCCGTGGTGAGGGGAACTATCAATCCTATACATATGGGATGTGGATCGATCAAATTCATCCAGATCTGACGGGATAGGCTTCTCATTCATAGCTGCATGGGACCGAGGTGAGGTGACAATGGATGAGCTCGGACCCGTTAAGGACAGTGATTTGAACCAATCAGGTCACCACCAACCCACTTCTTGCAACCTAGAAGAAAAATGCATGAAATAACTTAACTAAACATTGCACAGTGAAAGTTCATAGCGGAAATAGTATGCGAAGTGGGAACTTCCTCACGTTGCACATGTGAACTATATTTGTGTATATATATTTATATAATTGTTAGTATCTTTTTGCAACATCGTAACTGCCATCTACCAATACTTTCACATTTCTTTTATTTAACGCCCCTGCTGGTCATTCTCCTTCCTTGCCTAGTGAATCATACTTTCGACTCGGGTTTGTCTTGTTCTGGTCAATGTGGGATCGAACATTGGCATCAAGAAGTTTGTTCCAACACGACACGTCCTGATTTCCTTGTGCCGACAAGTGACCAAACTGCCAATCCATTCTTCAGTAAGCGTCGTTTGACTCAGAACGCCGATCGTGCCACGCGCGGTTTCATGTCTCCACATCCCTTTGCCATGGAAGGTGCATGGAATAGCGAATTATCTGCCGAGCAAAATAATTGTATGACGCATCACCCGGGTTCCACCGTTGTCTCTGAGGCTCAAAAGGATGGCGAGATGCAAAATGTGGAGACAAACTCATATCATGATGATGAGAAAAATATGGAGGGTGACGAGGAAGAGGTTAATGGTGAGGACGACAACGACGAATGGGAGGCGGAAGAGAAGGAGGCTGACGATGATGATGAGCGGCTTCAGCTTCGTTTGGCCTCCGCGTGGCAACGTAAAGCTCGTCGTCTTTTCGATGATTTGTCTACTCGAGTCAAATGCGTTGTGTTCACCGACTGTCCTCACATATTGGACCTGGCCATGGAGGGAATTGGTTGGGGACTGAATTTGTTACAAGAACAAGCCAATGAATCGGAGGCTCCCCGTCTATTTAATCCCGCGGTGATTCGCTCCAAACTGCCTGAACGGGTTACTCAAGCAAGAGAATGGTTTAGTCATGTGAGCAATCCTCCCTCATCTGATTGATACAAATTACGCTTCTTATTGATATAATTATCATAATAGTACAAACAAATTTGGTTAAGAAAAGAGCGAATTAATCAATTTGGTAGTTAAAAGCAGATTGTCAATAGTAATGTAATAGTGCGATAGCATAATATTGTCCATAAAGTGATTTTGTACCGATTGTACTTCCACGCTCATCTGGTTTCGAACCTATCTGCCGACCAAGAAGGCCCAATAACAGGAAATTAGAAAAACAAAGGTGTGACAGACAACCTTTATTTCAGTGCTTTATCTATTGGCCAATTAGAGCACATTTTTATGACTCAGCGATCAGAATAATCAATCCTCCACTATGTGTGCCCGAACAGTTCATCAATACTCTTACCCTCCCGTGACCATGTGTTCGAAATGACCCCACCTATTATTTCAGTCGAATATTCAAACTCTGAGAGGGATTATCACCAATTATGCGATCAATGTTGGAACACCCACCTTCCAATCCCTCAACTCACA